AACTATTTCTACAAAAAGTGAAAGTCAGCACAGGAAGAACTGAAGAGACAAAAAATATGAGGTATGTCCCCAAAGGTCCTGCCTGTGGTAAATAATGTTGATGGAATTTTAAAATTTGTCCTAAGAATGGCCTGTATGGAAATAAAAGTCAAATGATCTGATGGAAACAAGTGCTCCTTTACGAAGTCACAAGTTAATCTGGACAAAATGGTCAATGATGTTTATATTGTTACATGTTCTTTAGAAGAATCCAATTACCTATAATGATATTTTAGCTGATAGTTAACACCAACACACCAGATTATTTACAATGAAGTTACCAGCTAAAATCAGTCTGGGAAAAATGTACTATYTATGATTACGAAAACTTTGTTATAAAATATAGTGCATCTTGATCTCCATTTTTAAGAGCTGCAGACAATCATAAAACAACAATGTTATAAGAATTTTTTCCTATAGAATATTTCCAAAGATTTTCTGAGGCTTCTCTGTGGGGTAGGGATGAGGGAACACAGACTGTGAAAGACTTCGGCTTGCCTTAAAATGAAGTTTATATTTGATAAACTGAGTACTTCTAATTCTCTCCAAAAGGAAACTGCTATTATCKTAAGGCTCACAATGTACTTTCTCCAAGTGATTTCTTTCACATCACAAGCATCTTGTCCTGCCTCAACTAATGAAGGRTTACAGGTTCCTGTGGGAATACCAGTGGTAGCTCTTGATGATCTCTTTCCTTGAGATATGTAACAGCATAATCAAATCTTTTTCTATTATGGCAAAAGACAACATCTAGAAACTGACTTAATTTTAGCATGCTCACTTACAAACTGGCTAAAGGAGGGCTGGTGGTATAGCTCAGTGTGGAATGCTTGCCAAGCATCTCCGGGACCTGGGTTTAAGCCCTAACAATGCAACAGAAAACAATAACAAAGTGCACAGAAACTGGCAAGGGACTCTAAAATTACATTAACAACTCAGGACTATTTCCTTTGATTCCTATTCCCAATAGTAACTGGAAGTTCCAAATTGGATTTATAAATGAACAAATCCTAAGTTTTGAAGGTGTGCAAGTGACCCACACATATTACTGATTTTAAATATTTGAATCTTTATGGGTGCTAATCATCATGCTCACTAACCGAGCTTGCTGTGAAGTTAAATAAAACAGCATGGGTTTTTTGGCAATATGAAAGCTAAAAATGACCTAATATTGGTGTCTTAAGCATCAGTGTCCTAAATGTTAAACTAACAAAAGTACCATCTAATTAATCTTCCCCTGTTCATTGTACTAAAGACTAAATGATTCAGAACAGTTTCTGACAGCTTATGAAAACAGTCCCTTTGCAGTTAGAAACTCAAATTTGAACTCAATTTCTGAAATGGACAAAAAAAGGAGGAACCAAATTTTTCAACTAGTCTATTAACAGGGAACAGAAGTGTGTTTTTAAAGTGAAAATAATCATTACAAAAATGCAAAATCCTGAAGCAAACCTCAAATCACTACTTACAACAAATCACATAAACATCTTGAATCACAAGCTTAATGTTTTTTTCCCCACCTGCAAAAGGGAACCAGCTCTTAAAATCAAACTACATTGTAAAGTTACACTTGAACAACTAGCAATATGAAAATTTTTCATTGCTCTGAAAATATTCATATTGTATCATTAGAGACAAAAGAATCTTTTTAACTACTTTAAAAACTAAAACATTCCATACATCTCAGGGATCTGAGCTTTGAAGGTTTAGAGTAATATGTTCTAAAACACTATTATTATTAATTTTGGGGAAAATTGGACAAGTCAGTTAATTAAATATCTTTTAGTTTAATCTTAGTTATAAGCAGAGGTTACATTTGTCACATCATTTTATGTCATACTATGATGTCTTACTTAGAAATATATTTAAAAATGCTTGTTAAATGAATTGAATGACATAAATTCATTTGCCTTTTTCTTTCAGAAACAAAGAATTATGTAGATTTCAAAAAAAAAAATGTCAGCCTGACTAGATTCTAGTAACACACTTTTTAACTGAAAACATAATTACCAGACGTGGAAACAAAAAGATGTGTCTAAGGTCATCAGAAAAGGTATTAGTATGAAAATGAAATTTTGAGCCATCATTTTGTTACTCAAATTGACATTGACTCAGCTAATAAAAACATTTAAATTTCATTTCCAAATCCACTTAGTAAATCTAGTTCCAGTTAGAGCATCTTTAATGTGCAAAAAGCTCAGTGAAAGCAAGTATTCACCATGCAAGTCACAGCTAGGATTCCCTTAACCTACTGCCCTCCACACACATCACTCTCTGTTAAACAGGCAGGCACTGCCAGATGCTCCTGTTAAAAATGGTCACAGATGGTCAGCTGTCCAGTTAACAGAACACACTACATTCCCAATATCCAAAAGTAAGGAGGAGAGCTCTTAGTACTTGCCTGCTTGGTGGGCTAAACACATTCAATTGCTCTAAGCTTGGCCAGGCCCCAACATTGACTTTCTAGAAAAGGAAGGCTAGACCCTAGGGGTCTCAGGATTAAAAGGCACCTTAATGGTGATCCAGTCAACAGCTGTACAATGCTTGAACCCACATAACTGCATCCCTGCCAGCCAGTCGCCATTCAGGCTGTGACCTGGCAGCTCAAGCGGTGCAGAACCTGCTGCCTAAAAGGAAAGCCTTACAGCTACACAGAGGCCTCCATTACCTTGAACTGCAAGTAGTCCAACACCTAACTAATTCCACAGTCAGGAACACTGAGCTATTTAAACAGATGTGGCATACTAACTATAACAAAATAATTTCCTAGTTTACACATTAAAAAAGTGATTTTAGGGCTGGGTTGTGGCTCAGTGGTAGAGCGTTCACCCAGCACGCATGAGGCCCTAGGTTTGGTCCTCAGCACCCGTAAAAATAAATAAATAAAATAAAGATATTGTGCCCAACTACCAAAAAAAAAAAAGTGATTTTAAACAGAGGTACTTCAATGAACATAAAAACAAGGTCTAAGGATATAGCTCAGTTGGTAGAGTGCTTGCTTTGCCCTGGCTTTGATCCCCAGAAGCACAAAAATGAATAAACAAATAAATAAATAAGAAATAAAAGCAAAGGCAGCAACATATGCAATTTATTTTTAAAACATAGGAGGAAATAAAGGTTTAYAGTTTTGAAAGCTGTTATTCAGAGATTATAAAAAAGTTCAACAAAAATCAATGGGTCTCCCCCTCCGCACCATAAGTAATATATGCATGTATCTCTAAGTATACATGCATTTATCTATCTAATGTACTATAGAAAATCTAAAAATTTTAAAGAACTTTTAATTGCCAAAGTTTTTATAAAATGTTTCTCTAAGTTTTTTTTTGGTAAGAACAGCCCTTTTTTTTTCTAACAAATTATTCATCTCTTTAGAACAAGCTACCCATAATGTATGCACAAGAAGAACACTCTTAAGAGTATTTCTGTATATCTTCAATATATTTATATCTTCCTTATAATGAGGAAAGTGTAAGTACTAAGTTTTGATCTATGATTTTTCATCAATAGTTGCCCCAAATCTGTTTTGCTTTGAAAAATTCAGACAAGTACTGAGTAAAATATTTCCAAATCAATAATATGCACATGTAAAAGGACAACACTGAGAAGCCATGGACAGAAATAAACACTGCTGATTTTAGGAACAGGAGGCTGGGCTGACGTCATCTCAGTATCAATGGATTAAGAAAGGTCAACCCAGAACATATGTAACTTCTCCTCATCGTTCATAAAGCTGTGTGACAGAGATCGATAGTGAAACTTATTTAATTTAATGCAGATTAAATTAAAAACCAACATAATAAGATTATAAGCAAAATACCATCTGGAAACCATGGTGAGGAACTGCAGGATGGAGTTCTGTGTCTTTGCATCTGAAAACAGGTTCCTACCAGTGTGTCTACCCTGAAGAGACTCAAGTCCAGTGCTGCTTTGATAGCCTATGCAATGAGGCCATGGAAAGATATGGTGAAGCCCACCATGGAACAACTGTGCTTCATACCCCTCACCTACAAAGGGCATTCTGAAGGAAAAAGCCAGAATACTTTGCAAAATTCAGAAAAATTCAGAAGACCCTACAACCACTCAGCAGGCATTTCGGTGGCAATCATAATTGAAGTGACCACTTGGAACTTCAGGGTAAAACTCTCTTAAAGAGCAATAAATAGCTAAGTGTGCATTTACACCCTGATGAGTASGTGTCTATATTCATGAATTCATTTTGAGACAAAAGTTCTTTACTTTCTATTAAATATTGTTACATCATGAAATTCTTTATTCCCTGCAAGAGTCGGGGAAAAAAACCAGTATCAACATTATTAATGAGCCCAAACACAGAGGTGATTTTTCCCTCCAATGTTCTGGGTTCAAACTACATGAAATAATGTTTACAGTTATATGTTTTTCCCCCAAGTACTAGAGATCAAGCTCAGGGCCTCGTGCATGCTAGGCAAGTGCTCTTCCACTAAGCTATGTCCTCAACCCCTTTACTTTTAAAAACTTTCTTCTCTGAGACAGGGTCTTGCTAAGTTGCCCAGGCTAGCCTAGAACTTGTGATCTTCTTGTGTCAGCCTCCTGACTGAAAAGGCATTATTTTAGACATGATTTATGYAAATTACTTCATACCTACATAGCACTTTGTGACAAATTCTAAATTAAACTTAATTATTAAGTATTATTTATGTGTTTGGTGAAATAACTATTCTACATGCCCAGTAACTGTTCAGGATCTCACTCTACCAGAAGCGAACTCTAGAAAGACAAGAAGATTCCCAGAGTTGGAGAAAAGAGAGAAAGGAAGCATAGCTACCTGACTTCTGCCAGTCTGATCAGTAAGACATACATAGTGACATACTAAAATCAAATATTTTCTTCTTAGTATCAAATTAATTTTCTAGCCTATAGCTTTTTATCCAGCTGGCTAGAGAGAAAGGATAAAAGGAAAAGCAGAGTACAGACTCACTCACCCAAGCCACTGAGAGTGTACAGAAGATCACTGGTATCTAAGAAAATGGGTCCATTCTCCTGCTGCCCTTCCTCTTTGAAGAACAGCTTGTAGCCCTGAATGACTGCTGGGTCTTCAGAATCTTGCTGCCACTTCACAGAAATGGTGGTACAGTTCAGAGGCTCCAAATGTAACTCTGGAGACTTAGGGGCTAGAAAAATTCACCAGAAAATTTACATACAGACAACACAGAGTTCCCAAGAAAATTGCAGATCTCACAACTTCAAGCCAATAGTTATAAAAGGTTCAATTCCAACAACTATACTTAAACTTTCCAAAGTTTACAATGATATTAAACCTTGAGATAGTTTAATTAAAAAATATATATTACCTTAAAAAGACTAAAGTATACAAATACTATCTATGAAGTATTTATACATTTTTTTCCATAATTTTGCCCATCTAATATTCCTCTGTGATAAAGAGAACAGGCATTATTATCAAATAAGAAAAACAGTCATAGTATATTCCACCTAAGTAAAAAGAAAGGCCTAGAATCTTTGTCTTTAATATTAATTAGGTCTTTATTAATACATACTTTTGGTAATTGTTTGATTTGGAATGTTCTAACCATGAAGATTTTGCTAAGCAAACTAATACCATAACCAAAAATTTTACATGGTAATGTGCTCTATACAAAAGGGACTATTAAATACAAAGTCTAATTTTGTTCCAATTAATTCTATGAATGAATACACACACACACACACACACACACACACATACTTCTTTTATTTTATTTTATTGGTACTGGGAATAGAACCCAAGGGCACATCCCCAGCCCCCCGCCCCTTTTTTTTGTATTTTAATAGAGACAGGATCTCTTTGAGTTACTTAGGGCCTCACTAAGTTGCTCAGGCTGGTTTTGAACTTGTGATCTTCCTGCCTCAGTCTCCCAAGCCACTGGGATTACAGGTGAGCACCACTGTACCCAGCTTAGAATTTTTTTTTTTTTGAGAGAGAGAGAGAGAATTTTATTTATTTATTAGTTTTTCGGCAGACACAACATCTTTGTTTGTATGTGGTGCTGAGGATCGAACCCGGGCCGCACGCATGCCAGGCGAACGCTCTACCGCTTGAGCCACATCCCCAGCCCTAGAATATTTTTTTAAATATTCATTTTTTGTTGTAGTTGGACAAAATATACCTTTATTTTACTTAATTTATTTTTATGTGGTGCTGAGGATCAAACCCAGCACCTTGCTAGGTGAGCGCTCTACCGCTGAGCCACAACCCCAGCCCTGGAATATTTTTATTAGTAAAATGAAAATTTTAAAAATGAACATAAACTAAGAGAGGAAAAATTTGATTCAAAGGTAAAAATATTGTGTTATTATTCCTCAACAGTCCTGAGAAGCCCACCTTTCACACTTGTAGCTTTGGGTGTTCTATGTGAAGTCCACACTGATGACTCTCCTAGCCCCACACGGGTGGCAGCAGTAATCCGGACAAGATAGACACTATCAGGTTTCAGGTCTTCCAAAAGATACTCATGCATGGTCCCAGGGAGCTCTAGAACTTGAATGGAATTCTCAGTACTTAGGCGGAAGGACAAGCGATATARCACCACTTGGCCCCGACGATATTTGGCTGGGATTGGCAGCCAGGAGACGAGAATGTCAGTGGGACTTCGACTTGTCAAACTAATTTCAGGAGGCCTCAGGGGAACTGAAAATTACATAAGAAAACATTGTTTAAAAATATTTAAAATCAAGTTACTACTTACCACACCAGTATCTATTCAATTTTATTAACAGCAACATATAACATCATAAAAGAGGCATTTTCAGTTATAGCACAGGTATTCAGAGAAGCAGAGTACAAACCAGAAAAAAGGAAGAAAAAATAATGAGAGTGGATAAGTATATGGGATGAAAGAAAGTAAGCTTATCACTGTTGTGATTGTTGTCTTTTGTAGGGTGAATATGCAAATACTTGATGCTCACATGAAATTGAGACTACTTTTCAAATAATCCTACCTAGTGCCTTTGACACAAGGGAAAATACATTGCACAAGGGTGGGGAAGTGTAGGATTTATAGGATTATAACCTGGAAAATAATTTTTTCAAGTCTAGAAACCAATGTGAATTTTGTATTCTCAATTATAAAATATGCTATCTTATATGAAAATCATTTTCCTCCAATAATTTAAATAAAATTGGCTTTCCAGAAAAATGAGCCCAATATGGTGGTAAGCAGTATCATACTAAGRGTAAAGACTAGCCTCTCAGTGTCTGAATCCTTATTCTACCAGTTACTATGTGGTCTTTGTATGATTGTGACCAATCAACTTCTCTGTGTCTAGGTTTCTTCTTCATACACAAAATGAAGACAGGATTGGCTTCTTCTGTGGTCTTTCCCATCTCGGTAAACAGCGATTATTTACCTAACTGCTCATGCCATAAACTGAGCTCCACTTTGAGTCCTATGGCTGCATGACCTCCACTGCCACCCCTTGGTCCATGCCACTACCACCTTTGGCCTGTATCGTGGCAATAGCCTAACAGATTGCCCTGATTCTGCCATTTTCCTACAATCTATTGTCAACGCACTAGCCTGTTAARACACAAGTCAGATCACTTCTGCTCAAAACAATTTCATTTCATTCAAAGTAAAAGCCAAAGTTCTCTGGCTTCATACAAAACCCTACCGAACTGCTCGACTGGCTGCCTGGTTTGTTGCCTCACTTTCTACTGTTTCACCCTTTTTTCTCCCACTCTAGCCATGCTTTTATGCAGGCCTTTTGCAATTCYACCTCCTCTCCCTGAACACGCCTGTCCCAGTCACCTGACTAGCGCTCCTTTATTTTCATTTCCTTCAAGTCTTCTTCAAATGTCACCCACTCAGTGAGCTCTTCTCTGGAGATAACTGTCTAAAACCTCAAATTCCGCAGCACAACATGCTCCACTGCCCTACATCTTTTTGCCTTCTCTTCCACACCTCACCACTGTCTGTAACAGAGTATATAATTTATTCTTTGTTTGTTGTTCGTATGCTCCCTTCCCCTCCAGAAATTTAGCTCCATATTGAATAACACATAGTAAGTGTTCAATAAATATTTGTTGAATGAATGAAAGAGTAAGTGGAAATGAAAAGACCAATTTAAGCATTTCTGAGTTCTTTATGTTTATGAACCATTAATACTTAAGAGAAACCCAGTCAAGGAAGTATCATGAAACATTTCTATTTCATAGCTGTGAAAAGAAGTCCAATGGAGTTAATCACTTGCCCAAGGCCCCACAGCTAGTGAGGTGAAGGAGCAGACCTAGACAAAGCAGACAGAGCTTGTATCTTTGTCCTCCATATTCTACTGCCTCTTATATAATACTAGCTCCCTTACCATAGAGTTATGTAGGGATGAAATGGGATGACAGAGGCAGGGTTTCTGGAACAGAGTGAGTGGTAAGTGCTCCTTCAGTAAGAGCTGTATCTGTAACACAATGTCACACCCTGAAGTTGAGACCAACACAGATCAGTATGTGAACGGGGTTTAGAAGGTGGGAGAGGCCAGTGCGAAAAATTTGAAAAGCAGTGTCAAAAAGGTCTGTATGCCATCCACAAAACAAAAAATGTTACAGAGTAAGGAARTGTTTACTATAACTGAAAAGTCAAGCTTTAACAAGTAGCTTGCTATGCTTAGACTCATTTTCTTCAAGGACATGGAGGAGGAATATAACTAATAAATGTACGTGCACATGTCATGCATTAGCTGAAGATGTCATATATAGTGTGGCTCACTCTGAAGTGGAACAGACTCTTACACAAAAACTAAAATTTGAAATTCAGCATCCAGATAAGTGAAAAATTTTTCATTCAGTCAAACCCTGAATTTATAAACATCTAAACAAGTAGCATTAAAAAGATGTAAGAGACGAGATCTGGGGCCAAATGAACAAAAAAAGTAGGTTTGGAAATTATTTATATAGAAATGTTTTGAAAATCAAGAGTAGATTATCCTGAGAACGACGACATGCATGTTAAGGGAGAACAGTGAAAGCAAGCATTAATTCCCTTTCACACTACAGGGTACAAACACTGGGCCCRCCAGAACCGTGGAGAGAGAACCTGTCTTTTACAACATGATATGAAGAGCCCAAAGAGGACCATTTYTCTTGGAGCATTTTAATGGAAAGAATTCCCCAACACCATCAGAAAATATAGAGGACTGCCCTCCCTCGAGAGAACTACAGCTCAGTGATCAAGTAACAAATTGAACAAGTAATAAAACATCTAGTAATAAACTATGTGCTATTTGATTACCTAAGAATTTTTAAACTGATGGGTAAAAAAGTTTCATAAACTACCAGTTTCAGAAGTCCAATGCCTTTGACCAATAGTCACTGTAAACACTCAATATGTAACATTCATTACATCTATTCTGACCAGGAAAAACTCAGGTTTTATTCTATTTTGTAAAATAATTGCAATATATTTACAACTTAAACAGGAAATACAATGAATATGTAAGAATATTATTAAGATCTGTTTTTTGAATTATGAATAAAATTGCTCTAACCTTATCATGTTACTGGCAAAAAGCAAGAGTCCGATTTAAAATTTCAAATTAGCCTGCTGTTTAACAATCTGTTTTTTTTTTAACCAAATACAGGATTTTTCCCATTTAAAACACATTTTTTGAAAATTACTAAATATATGAATGTTCATACATAAAAGACCTTGAATCATGTTTTCTTACCATCCTCTAGGGTATTCTGGGTCACATGGTCAGACATCTGGCTGGCTCCCATTGGCATATATGCCACAATGTAGAAAGTATAATTGCTGGCAGGCTCCAAGTCATCAATAATATAATGAGTTGTATCATTTCCAAGGACTACCTGATACTCTTCATTATTTAAACCTAGATAAAAAAAAAATCTGTGTTTAAAAACTTCAAATGTTCAAATAAARCTTGTAAGACCATTTCCCCTCACTATGAAACACTGGTCCTTGGGTTTGATCTCTGTTAATTTTCTGTTAATTCTGTTCATTTTTTTTTTTAACACAAAACCAATTTGGAAACAGAAAGTTCTTTATTTTCTAAAAAAATCAAGTAATTTGTCTTGCTACAAATTACTAGTTTAAATTTTTCCTGAATAAATCAAACTGAAAAGAACTAATCTCTAAACTTCTTTTTCTATCTAGTCAAATCCTATAGCAGACACAGTCTACAGTAGTAACAAATGTTTAACATAACAGAATAAAATAACTTACAACAGCCTAAATTTGCTTGCTTAAACTCATGGTTTCTTTCTTTTTTCTCCTCGCCCCCTCCCCTTGTAAACATAAATGGAGAGACAGGGAACGCAATGACTCTATTCTTTATGAAAACAAAACAAACCAAAAGTTGCCCTGCAAAAGATCTCATTTTGCCCCTAGAGATTCTATTAAATTTGACTGACACAAGTTGTTCTTTTTATTTATCCTGAGAGCAAAAGAACTGGGAGGCACAGAATGTACTTCGAATGTTTTATTCCACAGTGAGGTGTTGTTGTTTTTTTTAAAAAAGAAAAAAAGATTCTCAGCAATTCTTAATAAAATATGCATGGCAAGGTATAGAAGAGGATTTGTCTTTGTGGAATTTAATTCCTACAGAGCAGACCTACAAAATGGAACAAGAGCACTGGCAGCTACTGTGCTCTGCTCACAATTCACAGTAAATTCACTCAATCAAAACTCTCTTAAGGACAAGTCCCTTCTCCCCACATTGGATTTATAAACAAAACAGAAGGCAAATTCCAGTATTAAGTTTTCCCACATTTCTGAATTAACTTGATAGCATTTTAATTAGACAAGATTACATGCATTTCACAACAGACTGGCTAATGGCTCGTTAATTAGGAACTGCATAGTACGATTTCTGACCTACCAAACAAGGTCCTTGAGTTCGAATTAAAAAGCCTTGTTTGTTCCTGAATAGACCACTGAGCCGCATGCAGAGGCTCTAATGAAACAACCATAATAGCGAACAAGAGTGGACTCCACCAAACCAGCCTTCCTTTTACCTTCCTAAATCACTAAAGAGGGAATTAACATACTCCAACATGCTCAGTTATCAGACTTCCATTCTTCTGGCTTCTATGACCTCTGATTTACATTCAAAATATTCCTTTTCAAAACACTACTTCAAAGTGCAAAAAACAAATGGCAGTAGCAGCAACAAACCACCTGTCTCTATAGACAATTTTAATATGCCACCACTCTTCGGGTGTTTGGATTTGTTTTTAATGTATAGTGCATAAAAGCCAGGCTGTTTGTGGAAAGAACTAAAATTTGTACAACTTTGCCATGGTTTCTATAAAAAGTCAATGGAGAAATCTAGGATTTATAAGTAGTTTTTCTCTTTCCTCTACAATTTTTGCCAAAAGATATAGGGATTTAAAAAAAGATATAAAAAATGGAACCAATAATTCTAAATTAGAATTTTAATATCCACTTGATTGTTACTTTTATACAGTGATATATCAGTAGTGTCTTGTTCGATTTTCAAAATATTCCACATGATTTCAGGAAATGTTCAAAATATACAGAATCAAATACATGGAAAATTTTATCATGTTTACTTTCCACCTTAAGATAATATGCTATAGTATCTATAGTTCACTATATTATTTTACCAGTTACACCACTGTTCATACTTATCTCTCTATCTAAAATAGGTCTAAGTCTCAGTTAAGGAATTTATACTTTGGTTGGACTCAAATGCATAGGTATGCCACTTTGTAATTTTTAGCAGGCAGYGATGTCTTGCATTAGCTGGTGTTTGTTTATAAACAGAAAAACCTTAAATTATACTAATATGCAAAGTGCACATCAAAAGAAAATTTAGAGAAAAATACTTTCATAGGCAATAGATTATTAAAGAGATAAGTGCCATCTGGGCACAGAGACATACACCTGTAATCCCAGCTACTCGGTAGGTTGAGACAGAAGAGTCTAAAGTTTGGAGCAACTTAGAGAAACCCTGTCTCACAAAAAAAACACAGGACTGAGGGTGTGTGTGGCTCAGTGTTTGTCTAAGATACGCAAGACCCTAGGTTCAATTCCCAATGCCACTAAGAAGAAAAAAAGAAAAAGGAGAAAGATAAATGCCATAAAATTTCAAAAATATTTTGGGGTCTTATATAAGACAGCATTCATTCTAAAAACAAATCCTTGATAGCAAACAGCACTTATAAATAAACACTATTCAAATTGCTTACCTTCTGCTTTCATGTAGTGCACGGAATAAGCAATGACCTTGTCTGAGTTATAAAGTGGCCTCTCCCAAGCTAAAAGGATGGCTGAACTTGACATGGTTTCAGCATGCACATTATAGGGAGCACTGGGTCTATCTTCCGACATTACTACAGTCAGTCTGGCTCTAGATAAAATAGATCCTTGGCTATTCTCAGCCATGCACTGATAAATAGCATCATCTTCAGGAATAATCTGATTAATTACCAATTTACTGAGGAAAGAAAAAAATTATTTATGTCCATGAAAAATTCCAAGAATGATGCAAAAATAAAGTTCAGTTATTGCTAAGTATACTCTCATTTTAAATGACAAAAGTTAACTGAGTACAAAAAAACTGTATAATCAGCCCTAAATTAAAAACAGTCTACACTAATTACTTAAAATTAATCTTACATATTTTCTGAGTCTCTATAAGGTGACTTAAAAAAAACTGGCTTTTAATAAGAAAGTACACTCCTTAACAAAAGCACTTTAACTTATACAATATTACAGTGAATGCATAACATTGAGGTCAACAAATTTTTTAAAGTTTTGCTCAGCATAAAGAATGTTACCAGAATTCATATTTATACTATGAAAATCCACTCTTCAAATTACTAAGTTTGAACTGTGGAGGAATTCTTAGAGAATAAATTATTTCCTTCTAATTTCCTTATTTGATGTAAGAAGGAACTGACATCCAAAGAGTTAATTTGCTTGCTTGAGGTAACTTAGGTAGCGGTCTGCCAGGGCTAGAACCTAGGTTTGGGAAACTGTCCAATATTCATTTCATTATAATCCAACACTTCTATGATCCATGTACAAAATACAAAAGATCTATGGCATGTTAATATTATAAAACTTAAATTAATTTCTTATTTGTTTTAATTTAGTTTTAATTATCAGGATTATTTAGCTATTTGATATTATTATAATMATGTCACATAAAAATTACTGAAGTCATTATTTCTTATAAAATGGCAGCAAAATTATATAACCCACCTGTTGTACATTTTAATTCTACCATTTGAATGTATCTTCCTTCCATTTTTYAACCATGACATTTTGGGTGAGGGGATTCCTTCTGCCTGACAAACAAATCGAGCAGTGCCAGCTCGAGGCCTCGTTAAACTTTCTGGCCATTCAACAAATGAAGGAGGTGCTGTTTTTAAAGAAAAAAGAAAATATTCCTATGATCCCAACCAGAATGACAGAAACAGTCAAGGAAGTGTACATCAAATGAAACAAGTTGCCTTTCTAAAGATGTCTGACATTCTGAGCCTCCTGTCCACATCCCCATACCTACCCAGGTACCTTCTCTCTGCACTGCTCATTAGTGTCCACTTCCTCCATGTTTTTGCTACTGAAACCATTTATATAAACACATCAAAAGTATGCATGCCCACAGTCCTTCTTAACTGAGCCCAACATAAGGCCACTTGTGAATACATGCAATCAATAAGTTCAAATTTTAGATTATTGAATGGGTTTGGATATGTGGGTAGATGAAAAAGAGAAGAAAGGAGGCTAGCAAGTATGGGGCCTGGGGTTTGATCCCCAGCACCACAAGAAAAGAAAAAAAGAGGAAGAAAAAGGGAAAGATCAATAAGGAACATGCAAACAGGATAGTGACTTCAGAATGGTTCTGTAGCTATACTTACTAAAGGAATTTAATTTCCCCCTAAAATTTATCGTTGTAAACTATACTTTTTACCCACCTTCTCATCAATGCTACAAAACTCAAGAGTAAGGTATAAAAAAGATAAAATGGCAAATGTTAAGATATAAGATTCTCCTGATTATGGAATGAAAGAATACATACCTAATACAGTTAAAGTTGCCATGGCAACTGTAAAGTTGCGTGTGCCAGGGGTAGTGGCCCGACAAACATACACTCCAGCATGTTGTAATTTGACATCAGATATCATGAGATTACCATTTCCAAGCACCCGAGTATTAAAGACATCAATGGACTTGTGATCTATTCCAAAGAGAATATTTCAGCTAAAACAATGTAACATATAATCCAAAATTGTACCAAAAGACAATTATCCAAGCAATCAATCATGAAAAGTATAAAAATTATCTATAGTAAAACCTCTTATCTACATGCTGAAATGCCAAAAGAAGCCACTCAATCTCAAGTGCCAAATGTGTTTTATTTATAAAATGAAAATTTTTACTTTTTTTTTTTGAATGAACAAAGTTTAAGGAAAAGACTCACGTATCGAGAGAAGACTTACCAAGACGGCTCCAAGAAATGATTGGTTTGGGATTTCCTGTGGCCATACACTCTAAAACAACAGTCTGATGAAGAGACATTGTTATGTTCTGTGGACCTGCTATAATGGTTGGAGTGTAGAAGGATTTAGACTCCTTTGCTTTGGGGAGGAAAAGACAGAATTCAAAAATCAAATATAAGTGAAACACCATTAAAACACCAATTCTTAGTCACTTTTTCTAAACAGGAAACTTCTTTAATCTCTATTGAGATATAACTCCCATGTCATACAATTCACCTATTTGACGTATGTAATTCAATGGTTTTTAGAATTTTCAGAGTTATGCAACTATTACAACAGTTAATTTTAAGACATTTTCAACACTCCAAAAGATATCCATATCTATTAGCAGCCACCCTCCAATTGTCTCTCTATATARCCTGATATCCATTTATCAAGTTTCTGTTTCTCAGAATTTGCCTATTTCTAGACATTTTATGTGAAAGAAACCTTAATATGATATTTTTGTGACTGACTTATTTTCACTTAACCTAATGTTTTAAGATTCACACATATTGCTGAAACGTGTCAGTACTTCATTCCGTTTTTCTGAATAATAATAAAATAATATTCAGCTATGSATAAAACATTTTATTTTTCCATTTTTCAGTTGGTGGATACTTTAGGTTACATCCCTATCATTCACTTTTTWAAAAAATTTTTTTAGACGTTGATGGACTTTATTTTATTTATTTATTTATATGTGATGCTAAGAATCGAACCCAGGGCCTCACTTGCTAGGCAAGTGTTCTGCAACTGAGCCACAACCTAGCCCCCATATCATTGCACTTTTAATTGAGATTGAAGCATTATTTAATACTTCAATAGATCTTGGTAAGAATTTATGTGACAGTGGAAAATTAAGGAAGAATTAGCCGGGTGTGGTGAGGCTCGCCTGTAATCCCAGCAGCTCAGGAGGCTAAGGCAGGAGGACTGTAATTTCAAAGCCAACCTCAGCAAAAGTGAAGCAAGCACTTAGCAACTCAGTGAGACTCTGTCTCTAAATAAAACACAAAACAGGGCTGGAGATGTGGCTCAGTGGTCGAGTGCCCCCTGGTACTACCCTACCCACGCAAAAAAAAAAAAAAAAAAAAAAAAATTTTGAGGAAGAAGAGTGAGAATGCTTTTGTCTTGATTTTTCATACCAAAAAGCTAACAGACACTAAAATTAAAGCACAGCATATAATCTATTAACTTCAGTCTCAATATTTTTCAAAAAACTTTTAAACCTTAAAAGCTATTTGATGAAGAATGTAAGAATAAACATTGTAAGAATAAACATTGTAAGAATAAACTCTTGTAAGAATAAACATTCATGCTGGGCACAGTGGCACATGCTTGTAATGCCAGCTATTTGGGAGGTTGTGGCAGAAGGATTCAACATTCCAGGCTGGTCTCACAACCTGGCAAGACCCTGTCTCACCATAAATAAAAAGGACTGGGGATATAGCTCAGTGGAAGAGTGGGCCCTGGATTCAATCCCCAATACCAAAGAGGGKGTKGGGGGGAGATGAGAAAAGATTATTAAAGATGTCTTTAAGCTGGCACATGCCTAAGCAACTCAGCGAGACCCTATCTCTAAATAAAATTTTTAAAAGGGCTGGGGATGTGGCTCAGTGGTTAAGGGTCCCCAGGTTCAATCCCTGGTACCAAAAAATGTCTTTAGTGCAGATTTTCTTCCTTTATATCCAATTAAATTTAAATTTAATTATTTTAAATTAAAAACTAGCATCTCTATACATAATTCATTTTAATAAGTTATATATTTCTTTCTTTATAGTCATCTCTATAAAATTTCCCTCCTACCTATATCATGTATGGTCAAATATAAAAAATTATATTCACTTAATATTAACAATAACAATTTCTGAGCACTGAGATCAAGGATGGTATTTTTAAACTTTTATGTATATACTTTTTCCATGGTTTAATATAAAAAATTTATAAATATTACTTTTTACAACAAATATGTATTGTTTGTGCACATACTGATTATTATTTCTCTTAAAACAACAAACAAAAGAATAAGAGACTATAAACAAATATCTTTATTGACAGTAGACAACTCTGGTGTAAACAGATGATTGTTATGTTCTTTTTATGTACTTTCTATATTTTATGCTTTTAAAACCAAAAGTGAAATATTTATAAAAGAAACATTCACTCTTTCTTAAATTTGACATAATAGAGCTAGAGGTGTAACTCAGTGATAGAGCACTTGCCTAGCATTTGTGAGGTCCTGGGTTTGATCTTCAGTACTTTAAAAAGAAAAGGAAAGCCAGGCATGATGGCACATATCTATAATCCCAGTGATTCAGGAGGCTGAGGCAGGAAGATCCCAAGTTCAAAGCCACTCTCAGCAACTTAACAAGTCCCTAAGCTACTTATTGAGTCCCTATCTCAAAATAAAAATATTAAAAGGGCTGGGGATGTGACTCAGTGATTAAGCATCCCTGGGTTAAATCTAAGAAAGGAAGGAAGGAAGGAAGGAAGGAAGGAGGAAGGAAGAAAGAGAGAGAGAGAAAGAGAAAGAAAGAGAGAAAGAGGAAGGAAGGAAGGGCGGATGAATGAATGGACACACAAAACAAGATGACACACATAACACAACAGAAGACAAGCAGCCTGGGAAAGCAGAGTTCCTTAATAGATAAAAATGACCATTTTCCAAACAGATTACAATAATCAGATGTAATTAAAATACCACTTTATGGAATACAACCAGAGGAGAAAAAGTAATCGAGGGGGTCAATAAGACCTGAAAAGCCACTTTAGTGAGATACCTGGAATCACAGTTAGAGAGGCCTCCACACTTTTGCGCCTGTGAGCTACAGCAGCAGCAACACAACGATAATTCCCAGCATCCTTTAGGCCAACATCATAGATCTGCAATACTCCTGTTGGTAGGGCAGTTATCCTGTTATGAGAAGAATTAAATAGTTGAACATTTTGTAGATTTTTTATTTTACTTAACACATCCTATAACAGGAATCAATACACTCACTTTTTTACAGTGCTATAAGCAATACTTTAAAAGACCCTTTTATTCTGCTTCTTATAGTACTGGAGATTGTACCCAGGGGTGTTCTACCACTGAGCTATACCTCCAGTCCTTTTTATTTTTAGACAGGGTCTTGCTTGGTTGCTGAAGCTGACCTGGAACCTGTGATCCTCTTGCGCCTCCAACGTGGCTGGGATTACAGGCATGTGCCAGCACACCCAGTGACCCTTTAAAATATTARTTTGGGTTGGGGATGCAGCTCAGTGATACAGCCCTTGCCTACCATTCACAAATCCATAGGTTCAATCCCCAGCACCAAAAAAACAAAACCAAAAGTCGAACATAACCTCAATTCTGTTGTTTTCATTTGGGTCACAACAGATCTCTAAAGTATAAATAATTCTGTACAATATAGTTTGTGAGATCTATCAGTCTAATGTTATATAGAAGGTTCCATTTGACATTCCAGTTTAGATTTAACTAATGGATGGCCCACAGTTTTGTATGATTTATTTTCAAATACTGATTTTTCATAAATATCTGTGTATGAAGGTATACTCAGATGTTAATTTTTTTTTAAATGATAAAGCCCTACTTGGAATAACTTTTTCCATTTTAGTGCTCTGCYATTTTAACCAACAATTTTTGCCTATTTAGAAGCAGGAAAGAAAGTCAACTTTTAGGAGTTGCTACCAAGTTCTTTTTATTTTTTTAATATATTTATATTTTTAGTTGTAAGTGGACACATTACCTCTTAATTTTATTTATTTTTATGTGGCGCTAAGGATCAAACCCAGTGCCTCACATATTCTAGGCAAGCACTCTACTGGTGAGCCACAGTCCCAGCAAACCCCAAATACTCTCAGAGTACAAGGTATGTGCATGTGTGTGTGTACAAATGTGGATATGTATGCATAGTAGATGGGGACTAGAAATTGGAAGGCAGACACAGCAGTGGGCAGCTACCAGGGCCTATAGGGAGACTGCTCTTCCCAGCACTGAAACTGTAATTTGATTTCCTAAACCCCTGGGTTGTGATTCAAATCCTCACTCAGGTCCACAGTTAGACAAAATGATCAAGGAAAGCAGCAGGATAATCTGTCTGAATTATACCTATGCAAGGAAACTAGCCCCTGTTCTAGAAATTAATGGTGTGATTCTCTAAGTTTGAAATGTCTCGGAGATCAGTTATTGTCACACTAAATGAAAATGAGCTGCACAACAGTCCTTTTCCCTCCATAGTCTCATGTGAAGTTGTCATTATTCCTGTGTCACCTCCATAGGAAAAAAATACATTTACCTATCCATAGTTATAGGTAGAGTTGTCCGATTAAATTCCCATGTTATAACTGCAGGAGGATTAGATGAAATTTTACATGCAAATCTAGCAACTCCACCTTCAGGGACCTCAGTGGAAATCGGCTGAACTTCAAATGCAGAAATAGCTATAGGATAAAATTCAACAAATTTAGAATGAGCACATGACAACTATACTCAGAAATAACATTTTGCTAAATAGTATTTACCAGATGTGAACTCCTGCTCAGATATAAGATAAACCGAATTTAACTAGTACAAAAATAATTTAGTAAATAATTTTGGGAAAAAACACTGAGTAGTTGCCCAACATAGGAAGCCTGGTCTTTCCCAGAATTAAATTCTAAACAAAAGTTCTCAAGAAACCACCCATCTGGAGAGGAAAGATCAACACAACTGAAACACAAATAACAGTTAATGAAGGTGATTACATATCAAATACTACTGTAAATCAGAGGGAAGAAGAATGAAGACAAGCTAGTCAGGTAAAAATCATTTATAGGAATTTTCTGAATTGGTTTTTGTAGAATCCAYTGGGTTCATTTGAAAGTACAGAAGCATGACATTCCATGTGAGAGGAATATCATGAAGACAAGTCCATGGGTAAAAACTGCAGCTTGTGTTCACATGACTGTGAGGAGACAGCTAGGACTATCCACACAGTATTTCCAATGAAGGGCTCAGGAGAAAGCAGAAGGTGAGTAGAAATAAGATTCGTACCATGGTACAAATTAAAGTATCACTGAATATTTTTTGAGCAAAGGAGTATCACGATAATAGTAATGCCTGGAAAAAATTAATCAGGAATAGATTAAATAAAGGAGTCCCAAGTCTAAAGTCCAACTAGCTGCTAAGGATATATCTGGGTTGGTGGCAGTGGGGACGAAGAGATTCTAGATACCTTAAAGAAAACAAAAGACTTGTTTCTTCTTGGACACAGATACATAATGTGCTCGGATTCATATGAAGTTGGTATTGATGGGACAAAATGAGAAAGAAGAGAGAAAGATGGTGCATCTGATGAACAAAATTTAGAGAAACTCAAGAGACTATTTTTATGCTCACATATTTCCAAAGTGGACATAAATCTAAGTATTGATATTTTCTTACGAATGGTAATTCTGTAACACTCTAGTTAGGCCCTCAATCCAGGCAACAGCACTTCATTGGAAATACTGTGTGGATAGTCCTAGCTGTCTCCTCACAATCCTGTGAATTCTCTTCCCTYTGATACAAAGAAAGGGCTCCAAGAATAATCTCATAGTCTTACTCCCCTTCCTCATACCCTAGGTTTTTTTTTTAATCATTTATACTTTATCAATAAAGCAAAAAAATTAAGAAGAGAAATATAACAAGGGCTAAACTTATGCTTCATTAGACTGGAAAAGGGTAAAAGATGACAGAAGACTAACAGATTCTGATTTGAACATGACTTCATTTTTCTGTAGGTAGATTGCAAGCCTTTAGAGGTAGGGACAGGACAAGAGCAGTGAAAACACTCTTTTAGGAGGATCTACTTTCAAAAGGGGTGAAGTGGGGTAACAAAATACTTTGTGTATATGACCAAAAAAAAAAAAATTCTGTTTCTTTAAGAACAGCAGCCCTCACACTACTGTCAGCAATCCTCAAAGTCAAAACCATTTGAAAATAGCCATCTTGGGCCTTTTACATTTTCTTTTCTCAAGTGTATAGCGTTTTCCAGAAACAAAAGAACAGGTGATACTGCAAAAGACTAAATACAGAAGCAGAAGTGTGTGGGAATTCAGCTGTCAGAATATTCTATTAATTAGAGATTTGCACAAATGTAAAGCAATACCACTCCTCTTATTAATTTTTCTTTTAGAAAATGATTATCTTAATGTGAAATATTAATATGTAGTAGATCAATATTTTCATTTTTAAATGGATTTTAAAGTTCCTAGTCATAAACTTTTAATAGTAAGATCACTAGATAATAAGCTACATAAATAAGTTCCTTGTCCAAAATAAGTTTTAAGAATATAAAGAGAGTAAATGTTTTAGAATCACTATTCAAGAACATCAAACTGTAAAGAGAAAAAGGAACGCATATACTGTTGGTGGGATTATAATTAGTAGAGCACTATGGAAATCAGTATGGAGTTTACTCAATGACTGGAATGGAACTAGGGAATAAAATTGACCAAATTGTGTTATGTGCATGTACAAATGTCACAACAAATCCCACTCTTATGTATAATTATAATACATCAATTTAAAATTGATTTTAGAAAGAACTTCAAACTTTAAACATCAATACAGTTTTTCCTTTTAATTGCCTCTGTAATCACCAGTATATTAGGCTATGAACATTTTAATTCTGGACTGAATCTATGGACTACCACTGCTGTTCATCTACTAAAGAATTAAGAATAACTCACCTTCAAAATATCAGGTTTACTTTCACAGAGACCTAGTTTCTCAGAAACAATGTAAGATTGTCTTTTTATGATTAATTAAATTTACATTCAATACATTCATTTTCTCAGGAATTAGGACCTATATTTCCCTAAGCTTAATGCCTGCTTTATAAATATTAAGTGATCTCATTAGTGCCACATTTACCTTTTCCATACATAAGGGCGTGACCTTTGGTGATATTTATTGGTAATTCAGTTTATATTCAATTTACAGAGTTAAAATGGGAATTTAACCATATTCTTTCCCAGCCTTTCCCTTCTCAAATTAGCTTTTCTTCATAAAGCAGAAGCTCTTCCAGGACTATCTATTTGAACAATTCCTTCTTCCTTTGCCCACAATTGTGATCAAATACCCAATTCGATATGCTTTATCTCCTATATTGGACTTCTTTCCATCCCTAATAATCTTTATGCTCAATTATCATATCTAGCTTGTAAATCTGAAAGAAGCTGCTTCAGTAGTATCTCCTCTGCCAGCAAAATCACCCTCCAAAGTGATCGTCATAAAACACAAATGCAATCTGTGTTGCTGATGAATTAGCTGTTTTTTTTTTTCAGAAATCTATAGCTTTGTACTTAACCTCTTATAATTATGTCCCACTAACACTGAACTGTTTACAGTTCTCTGCATACCTCTGAATTTTATATGATATGTCCTCTTCTCTCAAATCCCCCAGGTCCCTTTGCCAACCTAATGAAACCCATCATGGCTTAAAGCCCAATGACTTTCTCCCATGACTTCTGGGAAGTTGTTCCTGACCCTCTTTTCTGCAACCTTGTACTGCAGACCTTCACTGCTGCTTCATCATACAATTATAGGTTTAATATACCTTATCTGAAATGCTTAGATCAGAAATTAACTTTAGATTTTGGAGTTTTTCAGAGTTTTAGAATAATTATATAGGCGTTACCAGTTAAACATCCCTAATCTTAAAATCCAAAATCTCCAACTTTTTGAGAAGTTTTGGATTTGGGAGTATTTGGAACTTCAGATTTTCAGATTAGGGATCTCAACCTGTATAATCACCTATCCACAAGTCTGTTTATAGGGATTCTATACTATGAGTTCATTGAAGGATAGAAATGGTCATATTTTTACAGAATCCCTTATGACAAAGAATGGCACAACAGACTTGGCTTAAAAAAAAAAAAAAAAGTTTGCTGAGGGATTAGGATTTTGGCTCAGTGGTAAAGCACTTGCGTAGCACTGGGTGAGGCACTGGGTTTAATCCTTAGCACCACATAAAAATAAATAAAATAAAGGTGTCATGTGCATCTACAACTCAAAAAAAAAAAGGTTACTGAACTGAACTGAAAATTTTGGGACTTTCTCCAATTCCACCAGGTTTTCAAGCACAGTAACTTGAATTGTAAGGAGTTTAGTACAGGTAGTGAGGGCAATCTGGATGTGACCCGGGTCACCCCACTAATCACCACAGTTGATTAGGCTGATGTGGCTGGTGTCCTCTTCCTCCCCTACTACTCCATGTGCATCTCCCCTGAAGCTGTGTGCTTTGTCAAAGATGATGGCCTTTCCTGATAGAGAAGTACCATACTTGGGTCAAGAGTATATGAGTAGCTGCACTCCCCTGCTAGAACCTYCATACAAGCTCTCAAGGAATGTGGTATAAACAGCAAGGCATAGGATGTTAAGAAAATAATGCTTTTTATTATTTTTTGTTGCTCAAAAGATGCCAAATATTTTAGCTGCATGATTTTTTTTTTTTTGGGGGGGGGGACAAGTTCTAAGTTGCTTAGGCCTAAGTTGCTGGTGCTGGCTTTGAACTTGTGATTCTCCTACTTTAGCCTCCTAAGTAACTGGGATTACAAGTATGAATAGTGGTGCCCAAGAGCTGCATAATTTTTTAAAGACAAAGTTTGTTTCAACTATATCAAAGGAGACTTATAAAGAGTAAATAAGCCAATATAGTGAGGACCCTTGATTAGTATTATAATGCTTTTTTTCTTCTTCTTTTTTTTTTTTTTTTTTGCAGTGTTGGGGATTGAACCCAGGGCATTATACATGTTAGGCAACTACTCTTACCAATGAACTACTCTACTAGCCCATAAGCCTTTCATAAATGCTGTGATTATTAAGAATAAAAATCATTCTGTTGTCTTAAGTAATATCCTTCCAACCACTTAGGCAACTGAAGGTTGTGGGTTTTTTTACTCTGAATCTCATCTAACCAATCAAACAACATGCCTCAGAACCACTACCTTTTCTTTAAGCAGTCTCCCTTTTTTCTCAGATTGATAAACCTATGAAATCCTTCTTGAGATTTTTGACTATACCAAAACTCAACTGGGACTAGAGGTGTGACTCAGTGTCAGAGCACCTACCTGTTCAGCATGTACAAGGCCACAAGCTCAATCCCCAGAAAAAAAAAAAAAAGAACAAACCAACTTTATATTTTAGGCCAAAGGGCTAGAGCCTAAGAGTCACACAATTCTGTGTCATGATTTGGACAGGAAGCATCTCCCAAAGGTTCTTGTGTTGAGGGTTTGAGCCCAATGCAGCAGTGTTCAGAGGTGCATCTCTTGAGAAGTGATTGGGTCATGAAGGCTCTGACCTCATGAACAGATTAATCCATTCGTGGATTTATAATCTGATGGTGTTTTTGAGAGGTGGCAGAACTACAGGATATAGGGCCTAGTTGGAGGGAATGGCATCCTTGGGGACATGCCTC